GGAGTAAGGACACAAATTTACAGGAAACATGGCCTCATTAATTCTGGTGTCTACAGAAGAGTTTTGTACATATAAAATCTATTTTTATTACTACTTCTAAGAAACAAATTAAAATTCTAAACCTACAACAAATATTCAAGACAGGAAAGAAAGATATTGTCTTTGTACAAATAACTTTCTGTCAGTCCTCTGCACAGGGCCTTCAGCACTGGTGCCTTCTCCTCCTCACAAACAAATGCACTCTCGCGTAGGCTGTGACTGAGACATTACTCTTTTTACAAATGAGATGCTCATCTGCTGTGAGCAGTTCATTGCTCTCAGATGTTTTTCTCAAGGCACAACAATCATGTCTGGTAGCGTTTGATCTGCACTAAGCCCAGGAGGCAAGAGGGAAGGGTTTGGTGATGGCATCATTTGCCTCCTGATGGCATTGTGGCAATGAGCTGGGTAACCAGGAATACAGCACGGACCTTCCTAGCAATGAAAGTTTAATAAAGATACCTACACAACAGTATGATTTTAATATAACCACGTCCTCTTTGGGACCCAGGCCCTACCACCTTCTGCTTTAATAGTCACTGCAGTAGTGACAGCTATCAACTCTAATGGCTCAAATAAATCAATTCACAGAGCTAGCTACAGTCTCAAGGGGTGCCCATTCTTTCAACAATAAATTCTGTGAAACTAATCACATAACCTGAAGGGACAACCGAGTGGAAACGATGGAGAGCAACTGCAGATGGGAGCTCCGTGAAAGTGCAAATGAAAGCACTGAAATATTAACAATTTCCAGGTAAGAATAACTACCACTGAAATGAGAAATAGATTTTCTCAAGTGCTCAGACCCACTACCAGCCCAACCAGAGCAAGGCCACTGCCGAGTGCCTTGTCAAATCTCACCAGAAATTAATACAGATAATATTGCAAAAGCTCCTTATTGCATACTCAGCACTGCTACTCCAGTTTCTGGAAAAGGTGAAGGTGTTTAATTCTGTTTCTTATTCATAAATGTCAAGCAAGGATTTTTCCAGTGACAAAACCACCTTTTTTACATGTGGTCTTCCTCTCTCAACACGTCAAGCTTTTATTTCTGCTAATAAATCTTTCTCATCATAGAGACTAGGATTTACAATTGATCTAGGGCAACCAGAAAGAAGGCAGGCAAAATACAAGTGCTATATACTTCTGGTTTCAACAACTGTTGTTCCAAGTCAGTCTTGCCTAACTGGGGCCTGGGAAGATACTATTGGTACTGGTTAAAATGATAATGGTGCTGCACAAAACTTTTTGCTTCTGAAATAACACCCCCACAACCAATATAGATTGTTGTTCTCACTGAGCTCAGAATATTACAACACAAGCAAGGACCATTTGACATTGCAGTCTGCCAGTTAATAGATCACTGTTCTCACAAAAATCCAAATAATGCTAATTTTCTGTTTGTTCTGTTTCTATCTTTCCTTAAGGTGTTTCTCTGAGGGTGGCTTCTAGGAAAATTGTTAATAGGATTTTACTGGTGCCCTTTTATTACTTGGTATAGTAATGATGAAATGACTCCATTTTAAAAGGCTGAATTTTTGAGAGACAGGATCCATTTATTTAAAGAAAACCAGAGATGTAGAATGAAATATCAGCATGCAATACATTATTAAATCTGTACTTACTGACAAAACCAGGACCAAAATTGGGAGGATTAGGTCTAGAAATCTGTGTCAAACTTCCATCCTAGAAATTTCAATAAAACATACAAAGATATTACATCATGATTCAATTACCACCCCCCAGATGAGTTATTATTAAACACTTTTGTTCAGACCCTAAATCAAGTTTATTACCTGTGTAATTGCCTGCTGCATATGATTTTGGCCTTCACTGGTCTGAGCCCCTGGCCCTGGCTGACCCATAAAGGGAAACCTATTGAGATACAAGCAGAAAATGAAAAAACTTTTAAAACTGGTGGGTATTTTAGGCAGTCATGGTGAGGTCTGAACAGTTCATAGCTCCTTTTGTCCTCAGAATGGATTCAAAGAGGGGATGAAAATTTGATTATTTGGTGTAAAAATTAATTGCACTTAGCATTAAATGATAACATGAAGTGTAACCATTACACAATCCTCAACCACAACATGTGGGAAATCTGTCATTACATCATTAGTAAGTGGGAACACAAGAAAAGCATCAACAGCAAAGCCACTTTGACCATCCTGACCAATAACATTACAACTGGAACACAAGTCTGATGCATTTTAACACTTTTTATAGTAGTTTCTATTGCCACACTGCTTCTACTCGCAGGAGATAATCTTATATTAGCATGGACTATGAACTACATGACAAAAAGTTCTTTTTCCACTTTTAATTTTTTTCATTTCCTGTGCAGTTTCCCCTAGCTCTACCATTTCCTTTCACATTTTGTAGCCCTTAAGAGTGGTATCAAGTGTTGCCTACCTGTTCATAACCATTGGTGGCATCCCCATGTTACTCTGTGCCATGACTTTATTGATCCCCTTAAGAGCTACCATTTTTGCTTTCATTATGGGATCAGTAATTGCATCAAAGTCTAGAAAAGAAAAACAGTGGAAGTGAATTACACAGCTGAGCATTACAAGTTATTAACTGGAACTGACTTGTTTCGATCTAGGTCACACACAAATTATCAATAAATCAACGTAATTGCATTACTGCTTCATGTTACTTGCCCTCTCCACTTTGAAATTCATAGTTAATATGTAGTTCCATGTATCTTCTAAGGAAAGTTATTTCAGCAGCAATTCTTTGTTTTCAGCCACAACATACAAAGAAAAGCAGATCAGTGTGAGAAGGGCTCTACACCAAATCTGGCCCATGACCCAGCAGATTAATAAATTCCATTGACAGGGTTAAGATCAGGAAGAAGAGTGGTTTCTGTGAGTTCAGCTGGCAAAACCGACACACCACCACTCCTGTACTAAGGAAACAGTTTGGTGTCTCTGTAATTACCAGTAGCACTACAGGCACATATAGGCTCTGGGAAGCCCATAAGCACTGTGAACTCTGCCTTTTTGCTGTCTCTCCCACTACGTGCCTCGCACAGAGCATGATAAACTCGAGTATGGAATGGGTGAGGTTGGAAGGGACCTCCAGAGATCAGCTTAGCCACCTGGGATGGCTACAGCATATTCTAGCCACACTACAAACATGGAGCTGTGTGATTCATGGGGGAGGTTAAATCCATTTTTGGAACAAACAGCCTTGATGGTCAGTGTATTTACAACTAATGCATTTCTCAAAATGTCATTTTTGATGAGTAACAATTAAGTGACAGTGATGGTCTTGATCTGAATGCTCAAGCTGCTGTTACATTAAACAGGAAATTTTAAACACTTTTAGGATGTGCAGAACTGTTTGTGATGTTTCTGGGCCTTGCCTATACTGTGGGTTAGTAATAAAGCTGTTGAAGAGCCTTTTCTTTCAGACACACTAAACACTGGAAAAAAATGTTATAAAACAACCATAACCAGGAAATGGGTAATCATATATCAAAAGGACAGCTTATTGTACTTGATAATTTAATTTTGTTTACAAAGGGTGCATTTACTCCAGATGGTGTACGAGAACCTAAAGAATAAAGAGACTATGTGATAGAACTTATGTCAGAGAAATGAGCAGCAATGCTGTTACCCCGATCCTGATAATGTCAACAAGAACCTCGACACCAAGTTCAGAATTCCACCTACATGCTCTTTTTCCCTACTCCCACTGTACCAGTAGGCAGGTTGATTTTTCTCATGACACCTTCCAGCTCCACATATCTACCTGCTTCCTTCAGGGCTATGGATTACTTAACTATTTATTGTTGTATTTTTTTAAAAAACTAACCAGAGCACAGACAAACAGATCACCCACATACCAATATTGGGGAAGAATGGCTCCGAACGCTGGCGAATCATGGCTTGCATCTGTCGCTGCTGCTGCTGCTCCTGTCTCTCCTGATCCAAAAGGTCCTGCAGAAGAAGTGGCTGTTCCTCTAGCAGAAGTGGCCTCTCTCGATTCTGTTGCTGAGCTAATGGTTGAGGGAGCATTATCTGTTGGGGACCGGATATGCCACTAGGACCAGGGCGGTTTGTGACAGCCACAGTTTGACTAGATGTCTGTCCTGTCCCAAAGTTATGATTAGATGATTGACCCTGAATAAATCCTGGATTGGGCGACCCTTGAGAAAAGTTATGGTTCATTCGTGGAACCATGGCCAAATTTGAACTTAAAGTGTTTTCCAAGATCTGTCCACCAGGTGTCATTAGTGTTTGTGAAATACCTGACGCGTGGTTCATTTGTGTGGTTGGCAAAGACTGAGATGGAGATCCTAGAGTCCTTGTTTCAGCATTATCTGAGCTTTCATTAGCTAGCAAACTTGAGAGGACTGGTGTGGACCCAGAAATACTGCAGGAACTTACTGCTCCTTGAACAGGCATTGAAGCAGATCCCTGAGCATCTGGACTAGGCACAGTTGTCTCTTGACTGGGAACAGCAGTACTTTTATCAGGGAATTCTGGGTTGGCAGGTTGGGCAGGAGCCTTTTCTCCATCCTTCAACTCCACTTCAGCAACCTGTTGAGTACTTGTGGATTCAGTACTTCCATCACTTTTTTCATTTTCGTTCTTCTTTTCCTCCTGAATGTTTGGGGAAAGTACTTCTGTTTTAATTTCATTTTCTGTAGCAGATTTCTTCTGTGGAGACTGGGTCTCAGGAGGGGAAACAGTTCTATCACCTTGTTCTTTCTGTTTTGGTTCTTCTGTCTTGCCCTGGATATCTAGTTTGTCATCAATGGGAACACTGAGATCTAGTTCTTCATTAAACATTCCTTTCTTATCCCCTACATCAAGGTCTGGGTCTGTATATGCAATTATATCAAACTCCCCAGATCTTAGAAGATCATCAAGGTGAGGATCGTTGGTTTCCAAATTATCTAAAGTGTCCAGTTCATCTCCTTTCCCATCCTCTGTGTCTAGATTCAAATTTTCCAGATCTTCATCATCTAAATCCTTGACTTCAAGGTCTTTCACATCCAAATCTTTTACAGCAGGATCATCAGGATCAAGCTTTTCTTCTAGACCATCACTTGACTGGTTGGAAATCTGTAAATTTGCAGATTCATCAGTTGGTGCAGATGTAGACAAAGATGGTCCTGGGAATGCATCAGCAACTGGTGGATGACTTAGAGAACGTATTACAAGTGCAGGTGGGTTGTCAGGATTGATTTGATCCTGCTGAGATTGTGACATATGGTCCAAATTTGTAGACATCTGCAACTGGTTAGGTATACCTTGAGAATTATGTCTCAGGGGTTCTGCCTGTCTTGGGGCTGGAAACTCTTGCCTGGGTATAAACCCTGCGTGTCGATGTTGTGCTGCTGCATCCATGACATTTGCAGCAGCAGGATTGAAAGGCAGCCTTGGCCTCCCATCAGGAGCCCTGTGACGTAACTCAATAAATGCCTGACCCAATATATTGTGCTGCTGAACTGGAATTCCCTGTGGAGGAAAATGTTGAGAGATGGCAGCTGGATTGTTTAGTTGTGGATTGTTCACTGGCCGAGGCATATCAATGGACAGAGATCTTCTCAGCTGTGGTGGAACTCCGGGGCGCTGCATTGGCTGCTGGGGACCAAGGAAACGTTCTTGACCTGAGGGTGGGCCATGGCCACCTCCTGGAAACCCATATCTAAAATAAAGTATGAAAGACTAAATAATCTTTTTTCTCAGGACTGCCTCCTCTGGTGTACTTGACTAAATAACTATTCACCAAAATGCTTTACCTGATGCATTAATTAAGATGTTTAAATAAATATTTTGATTAATCATGCTTACATTTAAATGAGCTTTATGACAATACAGTAATTGCTTTAATTATGTTTCATAAACAACTTGTTTTCAACTCCAATAATAATAATAGATGTAAAACTCTAGCAATTAGAAATATCTTAGTAAATAAACTATGTTAATACAGCCCAGCATATAAAAAATGTGCGGATTCAGAAATTACTGAAATAAATCCAAAATATTGGAAATAATAACTCCTGAGATGACAATTTATGTCAATACTGGTATTCATTTTATATCACAGCACTCACTGTAAAAAAGGCACAGACAGAAGTTGATGTTGGATTATGTATTCATTATAAATGAAAACAAGAATATTACAACTATTCATTATTAAGACAAGAAAGCTAAAGTCAGACCTTTCACTTAAAAAAAAACAAAACAAAGGAAAAAAAAAAAGTACACAACATAATTGCCCCAAAACCATGGGCAACAAGATCTTTCACGTCACAAACTTTCACTAGCAGTTTCTCCATTTATATTTCTGACTCCCAATAACAAATATTCTATATACAATATACTGATTTTAGGAAGATTTTAATTCAAAAAATCCCCACTTTTATCTAATAATTTCTATAAATTTAGAAATAACCCTTTTATACCCTGCTTTAAGAGATCTAAGAGCTTACCTAAGACCATGAGGTCTCATCCCCATGGCACTCATGTCACCTGGGAACTGGGGCCTATTGAACTGCCCGTCAGCAGGAAAAAAAAAAGGAAATGGTCCACGTTGGTCTTTTGGGTATACAGTGAACCTTGGCCCACCTGGAGGGACAACAGAGGCCCTAATATTCCCAGGATATGGAGGAGGAGGGCGGTTAAAAATTTGATTTAAGTTGTCTTGCTGCCAGTGCTGAAGAGGAGCTGCGTGGGTAGGAGCTGCTGCATCCTGCAAGGCTTTTTCCTGACGAACTGCATTCTTCTTCTGCTGCTGCTGCTGTAGAATAATTTCACGTAATTTCTGGCGCTGTTTAAAAAAAAAAACCATTGGTTTTGACACTGCATCTGACCTGTTTGAAGTGTCACACTCTGCTAGGTTAAGCCTTTTGGAGGAAAGAAATTCAGTTGCTATGATAAAATATTATACACTACCATCATCACCTCAGAAATTAAAAGAGGGATCAAATGTTGCTGGATGCTGTTTACACAACTTAATCTCCTGACCTCCTGTTAAAGTGTATAGTGTGAACCCAATTTACCAATTCACATGTAAGCAACTCTCTTTTCCTTGATCTATCACCATAATGCAGACCCTTTCATCACCTAAAATCTCATTTTGAGGCAGAAAGATGAGCTGAGGTCCACTGAAGAAAATTCAGCAAGACGTTGACACCAAAGCTTCAGAATTTACTGACTGTCTGTGATAAACGCTACCATTTTTTTCTGCTAAATCCACTTTGCATTGCTCCTTCCAAACAGAAGACTGAGTAACTTGCCCCAAGCTCAATGTAATTCTATGTCTCAGCAAGAGCTGTTTGCCAAACATTCATTGACAAAAACCTGGAGTGTATGTGCCTCAAGAAGAGCAGTGACCAATGGTAGCATTCACCTCAAGACATCAGCCAACTGAAAAGCTAGATATCCTTTTTTCAGACAGCAAACAAGCCACCGACAAACAGTTCTAGATCTCATCTGTTATACAGCAGAATCAATTGTCCTTTCAAGGTGTTTTCCCCTCACACTGCTCTGTTACCTGTAAAGACCTATTAAAGACCAATCATCTACACCTTCATTGGCTTCAAAGATGGTGTTTGCTCCTTAGAAACTACTAATGTTTCTATATTCAGTATGTTGTGGTTCTATCCAGGAGGACCAAATTAACATACTAAGTGAGTGACGATGATTCTGTTATATAGCTATGCTTAACAGCAAGAAACTTCAAATATCAACAACAATGGTCGTGATTCTCAGACTTACAAAACTGTAATAACATCAGTATTTAACATTATTCTCACCTGTCTTAACTTCTCAGTATCTGCTTGGGATATATTCATGGTATTCTGTGTATCTGTTACTCCTGTAGTGGGTGCTGGGCCAGGAACCTGTGAAACTTTGGGAAACTGCTGTCCTTGAGAACTCATTGGAGAATTTCCAGAAGCACTGAAGTTGCCCTCAGATCCAGGCCGTGGTTGTTCAGCAGCATCATGGGCCAGCTGACCAGTTCCAAAAGATTCTGGCTGAGGTCTTGGAGTCATTGGTGGTTGATCATATGGGTCATGTGCTGCAGCAGCTGGACCGTGGCTAAATGAATCTGTTATTGCAGGTCCTGCAGGTCTGGGTGTTTGAGAACAGGGATCTGATGGCCTGACAAAAGTGCCCTGCAACCTGTTCTGTGGCGTCTGCAGGAAGGGATCTCTATTTGGTATTAGACCTGGTCTTGTCATTGCAGGTCTGTTAAACCCCTCTGGAATCCCTGGCCTCGGAGTTGCTGGTTGCTGAGAATAAGGATCATTGAGAACCGGCCTCGGTGTTCCAGGAGGTTGGGCATATGGATCAGAATGTCTCTGACTAGCCGAGGACTGAGCAAATAAATCTGCTGGCTGAGCAGGTCTTGGTGTCGGCGGCTGCTGCATGTAGGGATCGACTGTGGTGGGCCGAGGAGTTCCTGGAGGCTGGGCATAAGGATCAGCGACCGGCCGAGGAGTACCTGGGGGCTGGGAGTAAGGGTCCTGAGAAGCTGGCCTCGAAATGGGTCCTGACTGAGGGAAGGACTCGCTCTGCTGCCGCACCACCCGGGGCGGGTGGGCAAAGGTCTCCTTTACG